TTTTTGTAGTTTTAGTAGAGACGGGGTTTCACCATGTTGACCAGGATGGTCTCGATCTCTTGACCTCGTGATCCACCCACCTCGGCCTCCCAAAGTGCTGGGTTACAGGCTTGAGCCACCGCGCCCGGCCTCTTTGTAACATTTCTTTGCTTGAATATCTCACAATGTATATTCATTCTACCTCAGACACACATTTGCATTGTTTCCAGTTTGGCTATTATGAATCTTGCTGCTGTGAACACAGTAGTGCACCTTATGCGTATCTGTTGGAGATGCAGCGACAAAGCGTGCACACATTCAGCTTGGGTAGTCTTGACATGGAGTTTCCGCCATAGTTATACCAATCTACCTTCCATTAGTTGTTGTGCTTTCGTTTTTTGCCTTACTCATTTTATTTTAAGCATCCCCCACCCCCCACCCCATGCCTTACTCATTTTTATTCCCTGACAGACCCCTAGTAACAGGGGCATTTGTGACCTCCAGACAAGTGGCTTTCTAAAAATTCTTCTGGGTCGGGTGAGGTGGCTCATGCCTGTAATCCTGTAATCCCAGCACTTTGGAGGCTGAAGCAGGCGGATCACTTGAGGCAGGAGTTCAAGATCAGCCTGGCCAACATGGTGAAACCCCATCTCTGCTAAAAATACAAAAATTAGCTGGGCGTAGGGGCGGGCGCCCAGCTACTCAGGAGGCTGAGGCAGGAGAATCACTTGAACCTGGAGGCAGAAGCTGCAGTGAGCCAAGACCATGCATTCCAGCCTGGGCGACAGAGTGAGATTCTGTCTATAAATAAATTAGTAAGTGTAAAAATTATTCTGGCCTGGTGTGGTGGCTCATGCCTGTAATACCAGAACTTTGGGAGGCTGAGGTGGGTGAATTGCTTGAGCTCAGGAGTTGGAGACCAGCCTGAGCAACATGGCCAAACCCTGTCCCTACTAAAAATACGAAAAATTAGCCAGGCACGGGGGCGAAGTCCGTAGTCCCAGCTACTGGGGAGGCTGAGGTGCGAGGATCACCTGAGCTGGGCAATTGAAGCTGCAGAGAACCATGATCATTAATGTACTCCAGCCTCAGCGACAGGATGGGACCCTGTCTTAAAAAAACAAAAGTCTTTGAGACAAGGTTCCGCTCTGTTGCCTAGGCTGCAGTACAGTGGCATGATAGTGGCTCAGGGTACCCACTGCCTCCTGGATTCAAGTGATTCTCTGATTCTCCTGCCTCAGCCTCCTGAGTAGCTGGGATTACAGGCACCCACCACCACGCCTGGCTAAAATAAACATTCTTCTAATACTTAACTTGTATCCCTTTCTGAAATAAGTGAAGAGTGAATGGATACTCCAAGTCTCCTCAAAGGTTCCAGCTTTTCCCTCTTCCTTTGTAATTTTTTTTTTTTTTTTTTTTTAATGCAGGCATCTAATTCCTTTGTAATTCTTGATTGGGAAATCCTTTTTTTCAACATTAATCTATCCTTTCAAGCAGAGACAGGGAGGTCAGGAAAGAGCCAGACGGGGCGGTGGGGGTGTGGTTTACTGAGGAATGTTCCAAGCTTAGGTGAGGCAACAGCACGTGTTTAAATCTTCTGGAGTCCAAAAGAAAAAAAAAAAAAAGATGATAAGTTCTCAGCAGGGGCAGGCCTGCCTACCTGGGGGTTCGGGAACGAACTGGGGGATAGGCAGGGGTTTAACGTGAAACCAGGAGGTCTAGAAAGTACAGAACTGCTCTCCTCAAGGAAGAACTTGCCCCCTCCCCCAAAGCCCTGAGTGCCCCTGCAGAGCGAGGCAAAGAGCAACTAAAAGAAATTTCTCCTGATTGGAGGGTGGGTGGGATGAGGCTGGGGGAGGGGGCTGGGGTGTGTGTCCCACTGTCATGTAAATATCCCTTCAAGGCAGGGCGGCTCCAGGCAGATTTAAACCGCTGGCACCTGGGGCTGTCTCAGTGTTCTGCCTGCTTCCGGACGCGCAAGAAGACTTGTGCTCCGGTTCTCGGACTTCCCCAGCAGCATGGCCCCCAAACGCCAGTCTCCACTCCCGCCTCAAAAGAAGAAACCAAGACCACCTCCTGCTCAGGGACTGGAGGAGACATCGGCCTCTGCAGGCTTGCCGAAGAAGGGAGGTACGTTTCTGTGCAGAGTTTTATCGGAGATTTAAGGGATTTGCAAGGATTGACTCTCTGAGTTTTTTCCCCCAAGCCCTCTTGAGATGTGACCCCTAAACTCCCCCGAAGGGTTTTAAGCCTGGGATAGTGGATTAAGTTTGCGTGAAGAAAGAACCAGAAGGGACCAGACTGGGAGAAGGAGTGCACGGGAGCTCATCCCTGCCCCCAACTCAACACTAACCCCCAGCTTGTTTCCTCAGTCCCCAGACTCCTTCCTCTGGGGCTCCCTTTCTTGGCAAGCGGTCTTAGCAGCCAGACTGAGGCCCCTCCTTCACCCCTTCACATCCAGCCAAATCCCTGATTCCTGGCGGTTCTTCCTCAATACCTCTCAAATCCGTCCACCTCTCTGTTCTCGCTGCCGACGGCGGCCCACAACTCTGGCCTGAATCTCTGCCACCTCCTCATCTTGGCTTCCAGCTTCCTCCTCCTCCCCTTCAGCCTGAGCGTAGCCAATCACGTGGCCCACTCCCCAGCTTAAACCCCTCCCTTGCCTCCCCAAGTCCGCCAGGTACTCAGAAACTTCTGGGGCCCGCCCACCCGGTCCCGGCCGACCTCTCCTGGTTCACGCTACTGAGACTCCACACCTGGAGATCTCCCTCAACCATTCACCTTGACCTCCTGGGACTATATACCCTCTGACCTCAGGGCCTAGACGCTCACTTGCCCTTTCCTCTCCTTACCTGTGCGCCACCTCCAGCTCTGGGCTGAAAAGTCACTTCCTGCGGTTATTCTCCTGTGAGCCCCAGCACCTGGGCGTTAGCAGTCCCAGAGTCAGGCTGCCCCACCCTTGTGTCATTAAATTGTAACCATCAGTCTTGTGCCTGTCCTTCCCCCCGTTAAACCTAGAGGTGAGCCCTGCATTTCGGGACACGTAGCTGGAGCTGGATACAGAGTTGACTGTTCTGGTGATTAGGTCTGGCTCAAAGAGGGTGGGTTGTGGTGGAGCCTTCCGGGGCTGGGTGTGGATAGGGCCGAGGCCTGCGAGCAAGCAGGAAGCTTTGATTGGCTAAGGGTGGTTGACTCTTACGATGGAAGGAGCACTGACAAAGAGACCTACCTTAGTGCTCAGTGTGGACCTGTTGGAGCTTTACTGGCTCTCAGTCCCTTGGCTTCCACATGGGATGCAGAGACCTCCTGCCCAGCTTGAAAGCTGTGTTGCTGGGTGAGTCACATAAAACAGCCTGTGCTTGTTTTCTTTTCTGTAAAATGGGATCCACTGTAGCAACCCCCAGGCTTGCTGTGAGGCTGAAATCCAAGGGAAGCACTAGACAGTGCCTAGCACATCATCAGCGCTCTAGAGTGCATTTGTGGGCAGCAAAATGTGGGCGAGTGCCCCTGATCTCCTTCCTGGGAGCATTAACAGGACGGGAAGGGATGGAAAGGTGTGAAGGGGTTCACCTAAACCCAAATCTCAGCTCCTGCTGCTTACTAGGCACTGATGGCGTGCCGTAAACGGTTCCAAGTACTTCTCTATCCCGACAACTGTGTGCTGTGGACAAGTCAATTTTACAGATCAGAACAAGGAGGCTCAAAGGGAAGTGTGTGTGTGTGGGTGGGGGGGAATGTTCCAGGCCCTGGAGACTTTTTTGGTCTGCACTTGGGACGCTGTAGCACTGTGGGGTTCCAGCCTCTCTCTCTTCCAGTCTTTCTGGCAGTGGGGTTTTCTCCTCTTCAAAGGGAGCTGGGGCCAGGTGCGGTGGCTCATGCCTGTAATCCCAGTACTTTGGAAGGCCAAGGTGGGCAGATCACCTGAGGTCAGGAGTTTGAGACCAGCCTAGCAAACATGGCTAAACCCCATCTCTACTAAAAGTACAGTTAGCAGGGCCGGGCGCGGTGGCTCAAGCCTGTAATCCCAGCACTTTGGGAGGCCGAGGCGGGTGGATCACGAGGTCAAGAGATCGAGACCATCCTGGTCAACACGGTGAAACCCCGTCTCTAC